CTATATTATAGTATAAGAGCTCCAGGAACAAAACGCGCTGTCGTATAAAAGTAATAATTTCGAAAACTAAGTTTTGTTAAGAAATTATCGCAGTTTTTATTTTCTTTCTCATAAACGACCGCTTGTGGTGCTATTTAAAATAAAGTGTTTTTTCTTTTTCTTTTCGTCCTAACCTTTTGGATTTTCTTTCTTATAATTACGAAAGTTGCGGTGGTTATTGTAGAACCGTGTGCTCGCGTGCGGCTGTGAAGTTGATTATTTAGAATAGGTAGTCATTTTTTTTTCACTCGTCATTTCCCATTCTTTATAAGTTATAACCATTATAATATCAATATACACATTTTCCACGATACTTTGTTACATTATACATATATTGCACTTGGAATATTCGTCAGTAGTAATTTAAATTCAAAAAAATAAATATAATTTTTAACGAATAAATATATAACAAAATATTTTAAACTTAATAAATATGAACTCGCATGGCATGAACGATAAATCGAATATACTGTCATAATATATAATATTATGTCATTATGGTTTATTAACAATTTGACACGTTTCGATAAATTCAATAAACGTCACAGGCCACCGCCTATAATATAACATACACAATATTAATAATTTTGATTAAATTTTTATTTTTACAAAATTATCCAAGCATTCTAAGCATCATAACACAATAACATCACCTTAAAATCATAGAACATAAGCGTACTATATATAATTATACATATATTCGACTTCAGTCGGTTTGTCCTGATATAACAATATTTTGTTCTAGAATTAATAAAATTGAGATTGGTGCATTATAATTTATATAACAATTATTAATTTATCTATTAAAAAAATGCAGACTTTAGCCCAAAGTTATAAACATTGCATTTGAAAGAATTAATAATAGTTATTTTATAGTTTAGTAATAATAATAATTTAACTGATATCTATGATAATATAATGGGTAATGGACAACATTATAATATACCCTCGAACAACAAGGATGGTTACAACAAGGATACAATATGATAATAATATAATATATACAATCTATACTATAAATTATTATATGAGGTATACTTGTATAGAAGAATAGGTATTTGCATTGTTTAATATCATTATTACGGATGAAAAAATAACACAACATTTCCGTGAAATGTTGTACAACACGTCCACATATATAGGTACTAGTTATAATAAAGAGCTGGTCATCATTATATTATTATATTCCCACATGCAAAATGAGTAGTGATGTTGAACGTCATGTTTCTATTATTATTATTCGTATTATTTGTTGTTGCGTCGTGGCTGTCGTTATGAACACTTTGAGTTTAAAGGGTTAAGACAAAGAGTGTTTACGCGTATAAATAAATAAATAATAAAAAATCTATTCAATTATAATTTCCCCTGTGTCCCACACTCCCACTGTTTGTATAAAATAATATACTTATATTATGCGTACGGGCATGCGTCGTATATAATATACATATAACATATGATATGTGCTCGACATGGTATATTCGCACCCTCCCTAACGAGACAGGAGAAAGAAAAAGAAGAAAAAACGAACAAAACGCCGACAACTCGTTTTTTAAACGTTGTCAGACACTTCGTACGGTAAATTATCGAATTTTTTTTATATTTCTGACGGTTGACGCTGACATAAACATACACTATAGGTAACCGCGTGTTCGGCGAAAATAATAAAAAAAAAAAAATTAAAAGTTAGTGTACGTAAAAAAATTCGTCAGTTTTCGATAAAAATAGACCGTTAAGTGTACAGGTATGTAATTATTACACGAAAAAACCTAAAACGGTTTGTGCATTTTGAATAATTGCGTCGCAATGTTTCCAGAATATAATAATACCTATATATTATTATGTATATGTAAATTATTCATAATATAAATCACGCGATAGAACTTTTATTAATGTTATTACTATACGATTGCGGCCACCTGTTAGTAGTTATTTTACACGATCGACGCGAAACCTTCTTAGTTAAAACATTGATTATAAATACTAATATTATAATAGTATTTAAAATCAATGGTTAAACGTAAATTTGGTAGGTATATTTTATTGTAACGCGGAGAAAAAACTTCGTCGTGACGAGAAGCGAATATAATATTATTAACGTTATTATATTTTATCATTCGATATTGATTTGCAGTTTAAAAATATGAAAACACGACGATGATGATGGTAGTATAACATACCATAGTGTGTAATTTTGTGTTTTTTCCTTCGAAGGTAGGTACACAAAAGGGCCAATATTTTCTTATGTGAAGGGCGTGTCAGGCCTTTCTTTCTTTTACAGTTTGCTTACTTGATTTTTCCACTCAGCTCCTACTCCTACGGTGACTTCTATGCACGCACTTCTATTAACATTTAACTGTCATATCAGAGACATGCCATATGCAGTAAAATATACCATATTATACGTTTGTTGTATAAAAGATATATTGGTATATCACATGTGCATATATTAATTTATATACTCGACCACCGGTTCTACACTGGGAAAACAAAATATTTAAAACCCCGATCCGTCGATTTGGGCCAATTATAAGTACGCTGGTCATCATTATCAGAGATTTTATGAATCATATTATGGTGTTTTACGAGACACTACTACAGTTTTAGTAACCAAATTCTTAAGAAACCTCGACGTGCTTGGGGGGGGGGCATATCTTTACAATGCCATTTATAATATATTGGAGCTCGTATATGCAAAAAAAACTAGAAAAAAAAGTTGTCGTAGTCGTCTTGTATAATGTACTTATGTACCTATATGTCCTATACACGCGATAATCATTCTATCGAGGATAAGACAATGTACGATGGACTGTCCGCCACCTCAACAACCACAAAACTTCTACCAATCTAACCTCGTACGTTTCTTTATAGAAATTAAAAGGTTATTATTTTGTTGCAGTGCAGCTGATACTTATCGTTATATTGTAGTGAGGGAGGGGAGGCGGTTTGGCTCATATAGTGTGCGGTATTTGATGGCAACCCTCTGGCCCAATTCCGTAATTTTATGTTCGGGACCTTCAATAGTGTTAAATCAATAATATATTATGATTTAACACGAAATTCCGTTTCAGTCTTTACTTCTATTTCCATATACAAGTCTACGCAGATGATCGGTTGTCAGTTTATATAGCAATTTTATTTTTCCATGTACGAGTGTTGTAGTATAGTTGGTCCACCCCAGATCATATAGTAATATAATATATTATATTACATACTATAATTATATGATACACACTCGCCCACGCATTCACTGATGTGCGTATGTATGTAATGTGTATGTATATATATATATATATAAACTTTTAACACTAGCGTCCTGTTTTAATCAACGCCCTGGCGAGAACTCGTTATACACACATGCCGCGCGTCCACGATGGAAAATAGTTTTCGCGGAAAACGCGAAAAGTTACCTCGTTTCCGGTCCGGTGTTCAATTATAAACGAATATATCCGGAACGCAGCTAGTGCGATCCGTCTGGTTTTTTCCTCCCCCATAGGTATAATAATATATACGGTGCCAACTCGAGTGGTCTAAGCGCATAATAGGTAATATCGTAAGTCTCCTCACGCATATATACCTACACGTATTATAGCCACGTCTAGAAAACGAATTCGTATTTCCGCCGTCAAAGCGTCAACATCACCGACTCGTGGCTGATTATAGTGGCAGGTATCCACTTGTGCACACACGTCACACGCACCCACCCCATCGCGTTTGTCGTCCGTCACAGCCGATTTTCGCAGTGATTAATATTGATGTAAAATATATACCTAACATCGTATAAATTATTATATAATATCGTCCATTCGTATTCGTTCAATGTATACTGCACGCAAGCACGTGCTCGACGCCCCCCCCCCCCGTGCAACCAAAAGTGAACGATATAATATATCGGTACATCACATGATAAATTCAGTGGTCCCGTTTCAGCTGCATATATGCGGGTACATGCATATGTGATGTAATATTATGTATATACTTACCACTTGAAGTATGGGTATCTATAGTTATATTATTATGGGGGAATCGGAGAGAGAGCGTGAGCTATGGGATCCGAACACTCTGTTTCAAACCTTTCTCTCGTTTATAACGGTTATTATATAGTTCATTTATGATATGGTAACTACGATATTTCATAATATATTATGTGAGAGTGAGGCCCATTATATCTTCTCGATGAATAAATAAAAAAAAAATAACTAAATAAAATATGTATATAATGGTTTATCTGTTTTAAAGCTACTTATTTTGCGCCTTTTATTTCTAGGTACGCCGCTGCGTACATGTGATAAGATGTGCTTTACTCTACCACTTAACTAATATTTGAGAATAGGGACAGCTATAATAGTAGGTATACCTGGTATATATAATATATATTTGGCAATATACGTAGGGTTAAACTTGTCGACACTGCAGTAGCAGCAAGTATACATGTTATATATATAATACGTGCGCGCACATTCCGACCCGTGGTTAAGCGAAAAAATTAATTTCGTTTTATTTTCTCCTGCGGCGGTCGTTTCTTGGTGTCCGCGCGTTAAAAGTTTGGACGTAAGTGGAAAAAACAAAAAAAAACTTCACAATGGCCAAAGTTTGGCATGGCCATAATATAATAGGATGAAGAGACCTCCACCGCGTCTATATATATATATATATATATATATAAAAATATACTAATTATATCCACGCGGTCGCCCCTGCAGACTGAAAAGGTCCTCTGGGGTATCGCGGTTTGTATTTCGACCACCTCCTCCGTGTATATATAACTCGCCCTCACACCCGATGAATTCTTTATGGACATGCGCGCGTACGACAACCTTTACACCCGCAAATATGTGCGAGTTTCTATTTTCTGGAAAAAAAAATTATATGTACCTTCTTATGCTATATACGTTGTGCTCACTTTAAAATTCATGAAGTTTGCAGATTGTAATACGATTTTGTTTTTTATTACGTTTTTGCAGTCACGACCGAGACCAGCCATTCACTTTCCAATTGGGCGTGGGACAAGTGATCAAGGGATGGGATTTGGGATTGACCAAAATGTGCGTCGGTGAAAAGAGGAGGCTGACCATACCGGCCAATCTAGCTTACGGCGACCGCGGAGCCGGAAACGTCATTCCCGGAGGTACGTACCGTTGTGAAAGCAACAACAACAATATTTTTAATATATCACTGCCGCTGTGGTTTAAAAAAGCTTAATTGTGTATAAAAAAGGATCTTAATGATAATCTGTGGTATATCTATATACAGAGTGAAAAATTGTTAGTTACAACTTAGGTACCTACTTGTTATAATAATATAACTTCAAAATATTTAAAATTACCATTTTGATAATCACACATATTGTTGGACAAATATACAAAAATCGATGTGTAAATAATAAATCTTCCTTGAAAAAATAAGTGAGTGTGCATACCTTCTCAAGTAAAACATGTAAGAAAAACACTACTAACATTTTTTTATAAAACAGCGATTAAAAACAATTTCCTATAAAATAGTTATACAAATTTAAAATAAAAATAAAACGAGTTAATTACATAAAACGTCTGTGAAATAAAATAAAATATAATATTTTAATTACTTGCTTGGTAAAACATATTTTGTAGCTGCGACACAGTAAATCCAATTTACCTTTTCTGCCCTGCTCGTATAATATTATGCTACGTCTTTAAAAACGTATACATTTTATAAATTGTTACAAAACATAAAGAAGCAAAAGTTGACCTCTAAATATCTAATTTGCCATTAATTCCTTAAATCCACACCGCGCGTGTGATGTTATATTAATATAGTATATTATTATAGAGATGTGTTGAAAAAGAGCTATATTATATCCCAGTTAATTTTTGTGATGGTAAAAAACATGTTGTATTATTCGTTGTATTTTCCATAAAAAAAAATAATAATTGCCTACTATTTTAAATATGGAGTGAAGGTGTCGAGAGAAAATATCTTTGCATTAAGCTCCACTCGATCATCTAAGCTAATTCTTACAGACATTTTTAAAAAATACCATGCTTAAAAACTTTATAAAAACTATTGTACGCTGTCAAAAGTAATAAAAAAAAGTCTGTCAGCAATTCCAATTACGTAACAGCACTAATTTTAAATTCTCGAGCTTATCCTTCCCCGCCCCTCTTCCAGAAATAGACAAGTTGTAATGACATTATTAACGCTATTATATGTTGGTCATATTAAATTGAAATTATTGATATTGTAAACGACTGTACTGTAACGACTCATTAACCATATTGTATGTATAGGAGCCACTTTGGTGTTCGACGTCGAGCTGTTGAACGTTGGCGACCAGGCGCCTACCACAAACGTGTTCAAGGAGATCGACCAGGACCAGGACAAACAGCTGTCCAGGGACGAGGTGAGCGAATATCTGAAAAAGCAGATGGCAGCGGCCGAGGGCGCAGAGGGCGGTGATGACATCAAGCAGATGATGTCCGACCACGAGAAGCTCGTCGAGGAGATATTCCAACATGAGGACAAGGACAAGAACGGGTTCATTTCACATGATGAGTTCACCGGGCCCAAGCACGACGAGCTTTGATGAGGGACATGGTGGATGTGTTAGTTGGGGAGGGGGGATGGAAATGGTTGGGAGGAGCCGGTTTACGGAATTACACCGTGCACGTCATCTTATGGCGTATTACAATATATTATAATATATATATGTATACACATTATGATATCTGGACGCAAGTGCTCGCTTAATCGAAGTACTCCAGCATTATTTTTCTTATTATAATATTATTATTATTATTGTTTTTATTTTAATTACTTTTATTTTTTTGGGGAAGTTTGCCAAAAACAAAAAACCAAAATCCCTCTCTGAGAGAAATGTTTTAATTTTATTTCTTTTTATGAATAATATATAATTATATTTATTTGATTCAGACACAAAATTAGCATAATATACATCTTTATAATATTATTATGTATAGTCGTAATTGGACTACTATACTATAAGTATACTATACATTTTTTATAGTCCGCGGATTTTTTGTTTAATTGAAAACTTTTGTAAGAAGACTGTTGTAATAAAAATGTTTTATATATACAATTCATACTTGTTTATTTTGTCTATTTATTAAGTATAAACTTATCCCCATATATACGTTATACTTTGTATATAATATTATATTCATATAGCACCGGTAAATATAACTATATGTACCATATAACCCCACAATTATATAGTACATAATATACTTATTATATACATATTATTAATTTAAAGAAAAAAAAATATTCAAAGGAAACAAAAACATTAAGTACCTATTCGTCAACAAACGCAATAGTAGAAACAACATACACGAAACTTAAAAACTTAATAAAAATATAGAGAAAAGATTATTTATCATACCTATACAGATATACGCAGAACTTTTGATACCCAGCTTTGTTCCTAATGGTAAACCCTACTTATGCCCTACGTTTAAATGCGTAATATACCTACCATACAAATTATGATTTATATGCAACCGTTCATCCACTGCATTTTCCGCGTACCCCTTCCCCACTTACCTACAGTTGAAATCGATTTCCTCCTCCTCCTCCGCACGTGAAACTGAACTGAACAAAATACATACACACAGACGTATCAAAATGTCAATCAAACTACATATTATAATAATATAATACTCGGAGAACAATGTTGATAAAACATAATAAAATATAGATGTAAGTACCTAGGATTATAATACTATGATATTATATGCATACATAATAATAATATTATATTAAATAAACTGAACACAGACGCATTTCGGAGTGGCCGTTTAAGTGCGAGGTAAGTACATAAAAACTTTTTTCATGTTATGAAAACATATTTATTCGTTACCTCAATTATCACATTACGTACAAAGACAAATTAATTTTAAGAATAATAAATTATAAATATCGGAATGTGTCCATAAACATTTTTATCTTAAAACATACAACTAAACAAATATATCATATTATAGATAGTAGATACAAAGGCAAATACATTTAATACACATTAGTAAAATTTATTTTTCATACTTAAATTATGACCAATGCTTAGACAAAATGTTAGGTCATCTCTACAGGTCTATCAGCCAGGCACCAGTATTAAAAATAATATTGAACTCACACTTTATTATAAAACTAATGCAATTTGTAACCGAAAATTCGAAATTTGTAACCCAACTCTTACACCAGAAATGAATGTTCTTATATTTTGGAATTAGGCTGACGGCCCTTCTCACTACTACCATTCTATAATCATGACTTAAAAATTTCGAAAATTTATTTCTACATCAATAGATTTTTCTTTGTTTTTATAGTTTATATGCAGGACTTTTACCAACTTCTAATAGACAATAAAAAATATCCCGATCACTGTATTTTTCTCAGGTATAAAATAAAACCCTATATTTTTGCACGAGTACCTAACCCCCATTTGAACATATTAATTCACCTGTTCGCTGCCTCACTACGATTATAATATTAATAATTAAATTTTGTTGTCGATTTCTATGAACCTATCTATAGTTTTCTTCAAACCAGTCAATCAAATTTAAAATTGCTTCTAGTACTTTTCATCAAATATAATGTCCAGACAATTGTCAATATAATCAACTTTTATAAATGGTAAAGCTTAAATCGTTTTTACATATTTTAATAATAATTCCGAAAAATTGTTATACTAGTACCTATATACTACATTACTACGATAGTAAATCTGAGTCACACCTTTACGACATTTTTATAGTAGCTATAGTATAATAATACTATACCCTATAACAGTAGTTCCCAATTAGTATGAAGCCTCGGACCCCTAACTAAAACTTAAATTGGTCCAGGGACCCCTTTTTTTTAAATACTTACTTTTAAATTTTAATAAATTGATTATTCACCTTTTTCAAGATAATCGAGGTACAATAGTCCAACAATACCCGAATTTCAAAAGACTACGAATTTAATAATTTCACTAAAATAAAATAAAAATAAAAAATCACAACAGTAATAAACAACCACGGACCACTAATTGGGAACCACTGCCCTATAATTTTTGATATAAAAGTGGGTATCTCAAGGGCATCACACTCCGGTTAGTCCGAGAAGCATTCAGTTGGCCCAATAGTAGGACACTACCCTAAAGAACTGTATCGTATTTTAATGTTAGGGACCTCGTTCTAATATATCTGTTGTCTATTGTTATAATAAATGTAATATGTAGAATAATTGTTGTAGGATTAAGGACTAATTGTTACAATTATAAATTATAATCCATGTGGCTGATGGGAAAGTAATACTAACGCAGTTGGTGGAACTGAGGGGAATGGTAGTCCGATAATACAATACAGGAAAAATAATGGGAAAAGGTATATTATACATTGTGCGATATAGAATGCGACGCTACAACGCTACAACAAAATCAAAAAGAAAATCAATGTTAAATATAATAGAGAACGATTGATCGACCGAAATTTCAATGAGTCATCGGTGTCCTCGTTTCAGAAAGCTCATAAACATATAGACCAAAGCACATATTATTATTATAATACATGCATACGATTCAATCGAAAATACGATATTTCGAAAAGAGGAGTGGAAAACGGGTATAGAAACGGCGTTCAACCATTCATTATTATACCCAACATCCTCCAAAAGTTTCGTTCGAAGACATGATATTCAAGTAGGTATAATATTAGTATAAACTATATTATGTTTACTCAAAAAGCTGCACACTGGGCTTGGTGCTATATTAGCAATGGACCGAATTTTGGCAAAGATTTAAATATTATTAAATAATATATCAAATAGAATAGGGAATGGTGTATGTATATTGAATATGTCAATGGAACAACTTTACCGTTTTTGAGAGTAAGATTTGATATAATTTTTTTTCATATTATTATGTACTTTCGTATTCAGCAGATTCGCGGTTCTTATTATTTTTATATCTTATTTAAATAAACTTGGTATAAACTATAAACACATTAGCTACGACATTTACATTTTTAATTACAAATAAATTAATAACTATGAAATTAGTAAAACAGATACCAATAGTGGAAATAGATCCATAATATAATAATTAAGACATTAATTGAACTGAAACACAATTTAAATATTTTAATGATATTAATGAGGGTATGATAGGTAGTAGTAATGGATAAGATTATAATGAGGAGGTGTTAGACGAAAATAATAAATTAAGGAGATATAATGCCTTTAGCAATAGGTAAGTGCATTTAGATTTTAGATTCACAGTTAAACGGTTATAGTATAGTTTCAAAGGCAACTGAGCTTTTGAATAGTTGAGAGATTTATAGGTTTCTACTTTTCTAGTAACTAGTATCTATACCTAGCCACCTAGGTAATAAAATATATGGCAAAATATAATGTGAAAAGTTGTTTGGAATTTGGGTGACAACAAATCATGTTCAATAACCAATATAATGACTTTAACAGTTTAATATAACCAATGTGTATCTAGCTACACCATATATTATCCAAGTGGTTTGTGAAAATGTTATCAATGTTACTACCATGTATCAATAAAATAAATTAATGAAATATGAGGAAATAAAGAACAGCCGGCGGTCAGCTAATTTAACAATACAAACACAGTTATAAATTATAATATATAAGTATATAACTATATAATATATTACCTATATTACCTATATTGAATTCTATATAATCGGGAAATTGGAATAATACTTTAGACTCAATTATTTTCATCGCTGTTGTTATTAAACGTTATTGTGGTCATGTAATTTTGATGGTTGTTTTCTCAATATGATCTGTGGTCAGAGTTAAGGTGATCATACTTAAGCTAATCATTTTAATAATTAAAATGATTAGTTTAAGATATCTGAAGGGCTGTGAATTTGTCTAACAATGTAATGCTGTAGGTTATTGTAAATTTGTAAGAAATAGCGTGTCTGTATAATACACATTATATTATTTTGCTCAGCCGAAACGATACAGACACAAAGTCAAAAACTCAAAAACATATTTTCTATACGTGTATATATATATATATATAATGCCTTAATAATGTAAGGACAATCGGGCGCCACTTCACAAAAGTTTCTTGTTTCGTAATCGATAAAACGATATATTATATTATTAGGTATATGAGTGAGTGTGCGTGTGTGGGTGTCTAAATTTAAAACAAAAATGGAGGACGAGCAATATGTTTCTCCTTATGGAACTTGAAAGAGTATATTACTATAAAATCCAGTAAACCCATCGATCGTCCGCGTTCCATATAAATTATAATATATGACTAAAGACGTAGCCAAAATGGCTAAGGGGTCTATAGCCCCCCCCCATATAAAATTCCTGACCACACCACTGTATATAGGACCTATTATTAAATTATTGTATATACAACTTGTTTTAACTTCAATTTTAATACGGTCGATCATAAAACCTACGTATATTATAGAAAACCCGTTGATGTCGTCTTCTGAAGTTCTACAGCTAGTTAGTTCGGTTAAGCATTTATGATATAATATTATATATTATAGTGACAGAGTTCATTTAAATGTGTATAGGGACAATATAATA